TGAGGTGTAATTGAGTCTGCATTCAAAGTATGGGAAAAGATCATTCCCGTTTTCATAAGCTGGAGGCCTCTCTGCAAATATCATAGACTGCACTGATGTGTTTACCTAACTAGCTTCCTCATGAAACAGGAGCTCTGTCTGCCTCATCTCCCTCCATCTCCCAGTGTATAACCCAGGCTCATGGTGGACTCTTCCTGAGGATGCACCAGATAAATGAAGAGTGATTCTTACCAGTCAAACCACTTTGGGAGAATTGCACTCCTGTCTGGCACCAGCTGTCCTTCATTTCTTATTACAAAGCACAAATATCTTCTCCAGAAAAATCCACAAACCCAGACAAACATAGGGGAGAGGCTAAGAATATTGTTATCACTCAAAGGTGACTAATTAAATGAATTAAAACACATGCATATATATGTGTGTGTGTGTGTGTATACATATATACATGTATGTATGTATGTGTATATATATATATATATATATATATACACATAAACTTGTAATAGTACAGTAGTCCACACATCAGCTCATAAATAGCTGTTTTACTAAATACATGATAAATATCTTCCCACACGTGCACTTCCGCTTCATCACTGACTCCTGGGACACCCAGCTTCATGTGTTTGTCAGACATAAGTGGCAAAGCCCCTCCAGTGTTTCTCAAGCATCTGGGACAGACACATGAATTCAACTTTTGCCCTGCTGTGAACAGTGCTTCGGGCTTCCCCGGAGGCTCAGCGGTAAAGAATTCACCTGCAATGCAGGAACCACAGCAGACGTAAGTTTGACCCCTGGGTTGGGAAGATCCCCTGGAGGATAGCATGGCAACCCACTCCAGTATTTTTGACTGGAGAATCTCATGGGCAGAAGAGTCTGGCCGGCTACAATCCATAGCGTCACTGAGTCAGACGTGACTGATATGACTTAGCACGCACATACAAACGGTGCTTCACTGAATATTCTCATTGTTAAATCTTTGCAACTACATTTTCCTATTTTATTTAGATGCCATAAGATAGAAAATCTGAAACAAGGACTCTTGAGGTTGTTTAACTTGCCACGTTCTCCTTCAGGAAGTTTGGGCATTTATCCTTCGGCCACCATGCGTGATGCCACCGTGTGCTGAGCCGTTCACAGCAGGACCTTCTTCTCTCGGCACTTGGCACAGCACCATTCACCTTGCCCAGCCCACGTGCCCCTTTCTCAGAGGCCCGCCCTCCCCGTGGACTGCACCATGCCCTTCCTCCCTCCAGCCCATGGTTTCTGCAGCACATGTCTCCAATCAATGAAATCATGATTTGTGGCGTTTGGAGCTGAGCCTGCGTGGATCTGGTTCCCTGTTGTGTCCTGGCAGCCGGCGTGATTTTTATTATGGTCAGAAGCAAGGGCTCGAGCCAGAAAGACCTGGTTTTACTGTGACCCTGCTGTTTCGCTCAGCAAAGTCTTCAGTCTCAGCTGAGTTACCATGTGATCCACCTCGCACAAAGATGGTGAGGTTTAAATGAGATATGGCATGTAGCTTAGTATGGGGTCTTTTGTGACCGGTTTTTTCACTTGGCATGACGGTCTCAAGGTTCATCCACGTCGTCTCGTCTCTAATATCTGTACGTAATTCCTTGTGATGCCCAGACAGTGTTCCACTGTGTGGATATATATAAACATTTTGTTCATTGGTCAGTTGATGGACACTGAGTTTGTCCATTTTGGAGTTATTATGAATAATGCTGCTCAGATGTACAAGGTTTGGTGTGGATGTAGGTGTTCATCTTTCTTGAGTTTCTACACCTACGAGGGGGGTTGCTGGGTCACATGGTGCCTGGGTAACCTTTTGAGGAACTGCCAGATTGTTTTCCGAAGCACCTGTATACAACTGTTTTTCTTTCCCACTAGACCTGCCTGTTCTTGCTCATCATTAATGCTCATCTTTAGACGTAGTATGATTTCTTACATATGAATTTTTGGAGCACACACAGTTAATCAGTAGTGCTAGAAATCAGTGCCATAGTTGCCTCTGGGAACAGGGCAGAGGGTGTTTTCTGGGTGAGGGAAATGTTTTGTGTCTTGGTGGTTTAGTGTGTTTGGTATGTTCATTTGTCAGAACTCATCAAACTGTTCCTTTCAGATCTGGACATTTCACTGAGTGTTAATTATGCCTAAACTGGAGGTAAAAAAAAATACCCTAAAAATGGCGGGGAGTGGGGGAACCCAACTAGGTGGAGGGAGAAAAGGAAAAAAAAATACACAAATTATCTCATGACCTGACTTATCTTACCCACCTTCTCCTGGACAGAGGGCCTGTGCCTGGCAGGCAAAGCCAAGTGTAAAGGACTCCTAATTGATGTGATTAACTATGTCTCAATAGGGAGCCTCGTTATCATCGGCCAGGGTGGGTGATGGGAGGTTATTTTTCACTCTCCCAACTAGGGGACGGCAGGAAGTGAGTGGGGGAGTGGCGTTTGGAGGGCTGTTCCCTGCAGTAGGTGAAGGGGGCAGCAAGAGAGCCTGACTCAAGCTCTTCTGCATAATACAGCTGCAATTACCCTTTGGTGTTAAGATACTTTTAGTTTTTTGGATCATTTTCTTGGTTGCTGCAAAAACCTATGCTCCATTTCCATCCACAGGGTGGAAGAAGTCAACCTAATCTGCTGGGTTTGCTTTATTGTTGTTTTTTTGTTTCTTTTTGGTATGTTTTCTAAGGCTGCATCATTCAGCAGAACAAAGGATTTAGACGGAACACTCTTTAATCCTTCCTAAATGCATTCGTGGCTGATGAACAGACAACAGGAAGCAAACAACAGAGAAGTGAAAGGTTTTATCTCTCCCTCTTAGAATCTGCAAAGAAATACGGATTGACTTAAAAGCACAGAAGATTAGGATTGGATAGGCATCACTAATTACCCATGGAAAAAATCAGCATTATAACACTGTTGATAAAATTGCCAAAGTCATATCATTTTATTTGTAGGCTAGAAAAAAATGTTTTTGATGGAAAGAAAAAACTAGAAGTATAAACAAACACCACTGTTATTTGGGGGGAGAGGTGTGATTATGTGCTTTTTTTTAATTGCTTATCTGTTAATTATTTTTCCCAATGACCACGTATTGTTTGTGAATTAAATTGTTACGGAATTACTTTTAGTTTTCTCACTGACTAGAGAGATCAGTTTCCTCTCTCTGGAATAGATCCTCTTTTTCCCTCTCCGCCATGTTTACAACTTAAGAATTTTAAGGCAGCACTGCATAAAGCATTGAACGTGAACTCTGGGGTGAGCCAGGTCAGAGTTCAGTCTTACAGGATGGTGGCTAAGTCACAGATCTTTTCCGTGTCTTGGTTTTGCTCATCACGAGAATGGAACTGATAATACTCTCCCCAGTCAATTGATGTGAAACATACATGGAAAATGCCACCATGGTACTTGGTCCTTCCTATCTGTTCAGTCCTTTGCCAACCCTTGATAGCCTAGCATCTTCCTGATACCTTGGAAACTACCATGCAGCATTATGATCCAGATGACTCTGACAACTGGGCTACATCTCTAATTACTGCAGAAACTTGGCAGACACCTGCAAATAACATTTGGGGTGTGTATATGTTCATGGGTGGGCTTCCCTGGTGGTTCAATGGTAGAGAATCCATCTGCCAGTGCAGGATACACGGGTTCGATCCTTGGGTCAGAAAGATCGACCCTGGAGAAGGACATGGCAACCCTAGTATTCTTGCCTGGAAAATCCCATGGACAGAGGAGCCTGGCGGGCTGCATAGTCCGTGGGGTCACAAAAGAGTCAGACATGACTTAGCAACTAAACAACAACATGTTCATGCACACATGCAAGCACATATGTAAAAACTGGTGCGCATGGCTTGACATTAAACAAAACCTCCCTCTCCATGGATGAGCTAAGACCGCTCGCTGCTGGAGCTAGTATCTGTCACCAATCACAGGCAGCACCGATTGCGGCAAACATCTGGGTGACAGCACTATTTATATATCCTTCTGCAGTTCCAGTCCCTGGTAGCGGTGGTTTCGGTCTTCAAGCCTTGCACTCCATATGTTGGAAATGTTCTCTTCCCGCAAATCACGAAAGCGGATATAGACCCAGGCCGTGTGAGTGTGAGTAGCCCCCTTGGGGAGGGGCTTATCACCAGCTGAGTCAGGGTCTTGCAGAGTGTTTACACGCAGGACGCACGTGGGCAGAAGCAGTGTGTACACATGCAAAGCAGGACCCTCTATGCTGTCATCTCTGTTTCACCTCTCTTTCTTCGGTCCCTATTTTAACTCTGCTTCGTCCTCCAGAATTGCCTACCCTAGGTTATTTCCTCAGCTGCTTTTTATGGCAGTGGTTTTCAAACTTTAGTTTGCAAATGATCACCTGAGAATCTTGCTAAAATGCAGATTCCTAGGCTCCTCCACCCTATTTTCTGGTTCAGTGGCTGGTAGGGGGAAGAGGGAGGTAATGCCCGGAAACGGGCGTTTTCACCAAACACCTCAGATAGGTCCTTTTGACTAGTAAAGCTCTACCAGCAGAGTGCCTGGGACCTCTCAGTATTCTAGGGCCCCACAAGCAAGTTAGAAAACTTATATGTTGATACAATGACTAGTCTCAAAATATGAAAATGAAAACTGCAAAATGGAAATAACATTATGTGTTTATATGTAGCTTTATAGCAGCTTATCAAGTTCTACTCAGCTTTTGCAGTTACATAGGAATTTTTTTTTCAGGGGGATCTGGGTGGGTTTAATATATTTGGCATACTGTATGCTAGGCCCTCAAAAGCCATGAAAAAGCTCCAGTCCCATGGACCTTGCTCTCTGAAGTGTAACCCTAGGTGATTTCTTATTCCTAGCATTTTCTTTCTTGAAGGACCCTTAGAAATGTTTGTGTTCACTGGTCAGGTTTTATCACCAGGGAGACTGAAGCCTAGAGGAAGAATGACTCAGCCATGGTCACATAGCAAGTTTCTTGAATTATCCAAACCAGAGCCAGCCTTCACAACTCACGTGCGTGTGCACAAGTGTGCATGAACTTGTGACATCTCCCAGGGGTCTCTTCCTCCTGTCTCTCTCACTGTGGCCTCTCTTCCCTTCATTCTTGTCCTCAGACCAGTCTGATGCCCAGTCCCAAGCCCTGAGGGAGGGGAGGAAGGGAGTGAGGCTCTCAAGGCTGTAACTGCTAACAATAGACATTGCACATGGCAAGGCCAGTCTTCAGCATAATCCCCACAGAGGAAGAAGGGCTTTATCACTCCCTGAAGCTGAGGCATGAGGAAGAGCTGCAGACTTCCCTGAAACCCCACAAGTGACTCTGTGCTGGGTATCCTATGCAGCGGGGGCAGCTGTATAAACCTGACCCAGCCCTCAGGGGACTTCCGTTTATTCCTTCATCCATTCATTCCCCAGATAACCTGCTGAGCACCCTGCTCGGTGCCTGGCACTCTGAACAAGGAGGATGTGGAGCTTCGATCCTAGTTGGAGAGACAGGCAGTTAGCAAGGTGACGGATCCATATACACGCCAAACATTTCAGCAAGACATTTTCTTTTAGGAAACTAATAAAAGAAGCTAATGAGAAGGGGGTGACAGGTCAGATCTCTGCCTCACAGCTCCTGTTGCCCTGGATGGATCAGTAGGGGGCTGCCAGGAGCCTCAGTTGGCAGAAAATTCTGCGGTCCCACCTGGGGTCATGGCAACAGTGTGCTGTGATGGGTGGTGACAGCAGCCGTGCTGGCAGATGGGAAGGGAAGGTCGGGTCCCCTGTGTCTCAGTCCCTGCTGTGACTTATGCGGGAGTTACTCTAAATAACTGGGTTCTTTCCCTTGTCCTCCCTGAGGGCTACCCCAGACCCGTCTTCCCAGTAACTTTTCTCATCAGCTACATGGCGATACGTGGTCCTCACCCGCTCCTCCCCAGCACTGATTCCTCTGCCTGGCTTTCAAGGTCCGCAAAAATTCTGGCCCCAACACACCCTCCCAGGACTCCCTGACCTTTTCTTTCTGTTCCAGCCTCCATGAGCTCCTCACCGGCCCCTAATACGCAGCGCCCCTCCCCCATCCAGCCCCTCCCCCACTCCCCTGCCCTGTGACCCTCCTTCCCATGCGGGTTCCCAGAAGACTTCCCTTTGCAGCCCACAGGAACCTGCCTTCTTGCACCCAAGCCATACGGTACCCACACATCATCCATCTTCCACTGTCTTGTCTTGTTATCTCTCACGCCCTTCCTCCAGGGTTATCTGACATTCCTCATGTCAGAGCTTTGACTCCCTACCTACGTCCAACACTCAAAGAATGGCCTTGGTGTTGCAGTTCCTCATCCAGTGTCTTGGCAGTAACAAGCACCTGAGAAATAAGTGCTTAAAGAATTGGTTGGGTTGGTGGTGCAGGGGTTGGGAGTAGAAGGGGAGAAGCCAGAGCAAGACCATCTAAGGACCTCTCCCTCTGTCCTCGCTCTCGCCTCTCCCAGACCAGACTCTCCTGCCAGGGCTGGCACAGTCCATGTGTTTCTGTCCACTCCCTGAAATGCTAAGCTTTTAACTGAAAGGTCATTGTCAAAGCAGTCCAGCTCAAACCATTACTGTTGCAGACTCTGGGACCAGAGAAGCACAGGATGTCTGGGCAGGGTGGGAACAGGCATCAGATCAGCTCTCAGAGGCAGGGGGATTCTTCCCAGGGGAACTGATGATGAAGCTGGGCCAGGAAGGAAGTGTGGGAATTAGCCTGATCCGAGGGCAGAGGAGCGCTCCATGGACTTCCCAGTCTGCAGAGAAGCCTGCGTGCTGGCTGGGGAGATGGAGTCAGGGGTGAGCAGGGAGGCTAAAAAAATTCTAAAGAATGCCCAGAACCCCAGAGCCAGAGTCCACAGCACTCCAGCTCCTACGGTCACTCCTGCAAGTTCCCCCCATCCCTCCAGTGTGTGCAGACATTCTATGATGGAGGCACATTCTCAGTGGATGTAGGGCTTTTATTTTTTAAGGTTGTTAAAAATGTGGGCCATTTTTAAAATCTTTATTGACTTTGCCACAGTATTGCTTATTTTTTATTTTTTTAATTTTTTGGGTTTTTTTAGCCAGGATGCATGTGGGATCTTAACTCCCCGACCAGGGATCAAACGCACACCCCCTCCACTGCCTCGGAGGGTAAAGTGTCAGCCATTCGACCACCGTGGAAATCCCACGGTGTAGGACTCTAAAGTGCAGTTTTTCATGCAAACGTTTCCATCTGTATACCTCTGTTTTTCCTTCTTTCCTGGGTGACCTCAGGCTGCCGCTCCTCTGCCCCAACTTTCACATCATACCCTCAGCCCACCCCAGTGAGGGTAGTCCCTTTATGTGGAGACAGATCTCCTAAGGCAGACAGATCTCATAAAAGGAAATACAGAGCATCAGTGAAGCTGGGAGGGAAAGTAAGGCTCACCAGAACAGTGTGACCGTGGTGACCCACCACCTGTAAGTCACCAGTCAGTCAGTCAGTTCAGTTGCTCAGTCGTGTCCGACTCTTTGCGACCCCATGGACTGCAGCACACCAGGCCTCCCTGTCCATCACCAACTCCTGGAGCTTACTCAAACCCATGTCCATTGAGTCAGTGATGCCATCCAACCATCTCATCCTCTGTCATCCTTTTCTCCTCCGACCTTCAATCTTTACCAGCATCAGGGTCTTTTCAAATGGGCCAGTTCTTCACATCAGGTGGCCAAAGTATTAGAGTTTCAGCTTCAGCATCAGTCCTTCCAATGAACATTCAGGACTGATTTCCTTTAGGATTGGCTGGTTGGATCTCCTTGCAGTCCAAGGGACTCTCAAGAGTCTTCTCCAACACCACAGTTCAAAAGTAAGTCACCAAGAGTTAGACTAACAGGATTTGAAATTTATTCTAAGAATTTTAGGGGAGCCTGGCATGTGCTTCCATGGCTTGCAGCAGCTTATATTGTTCTTTGGGGAAAACCAGTTGCCAGGAGTTATCAAAGCATCACTTCAACCTTGTGTCCCAATTTGGGGAATGTATTTCAAAGACATGTTCCTGGAGGAGAGAAGGTGGTGATGTGCAGGACGAGATTTTTTACAGCCAGATGCACTTAGGGGCAAAACTGGAAACAAAATGGTGCTCGGGGGGGGGGGGGGGGACACATGGTATTTCTGGGCCACCAGATCTTTCCCAGAGGTCTGAGGGATCACCGTGGAGAAGAGGGGACCACCTTCAGGACAGCAACAGCAGTCTGAGATGTGACAGTCACATACAGCATCATGTCTTTCCTGGGATTGGGGAAGTTATGGAAGAGAGCAGCTCTTCACTAGGAGATTCTCAGACTCCCACTCCCCGCAGTGTGTTTGCCACGGGCCCCATGTGGTGCCTCCTGTTCTGTTCTGATAGGTATCTGTTTCTCATTTTGAGAAACAGGATTCTGTTAGAGATCTCCCTCTGTTTTCCTTTTTACTCAGAGCTGTCTTCTTTTTTTAGCTCCATCCTGCTGGCCTGCGCGTGCTGAGCTCGTGTGAGGGGCAGTGTCCACCCTCCCCTGACTGCAGGCCGTGCCTTGTTTTCTTCCTTCATCCCTGCTGACACACTTCAGGGAGAAGCCCGGCCAAGTTCTGTCCCCGCGTGGCCTGTGGGAGAATCTCTCTGAGACGGATCCAGGGCTGGGAGGGGTGGGGGTGAGTCACTGTGCCACTCAAGCTTCATTTCATAAGTACCGCCAGATTGTTTTCCAGAATGACTACCTGTTTGTGCTTCCACCGCTGGTGTGCAGAGGTTTCTGTTTCCCCACGTCCCCCGCCCCCAGTCCCGTTCCCGCCTGCCCCCGGCACCTGGTGTGGTCAGGTATGTCAAAAAAGGAGGCATTTGATAGCTCGGGCTCATCAGGGCACTGGGTTCGCTTCTCTGAGCCGCCCTTTTCTGCTGCGGTCAACATCTGGTCATGACAGCATCCAGAGCAGGAACCATGGCAGGCAGGAAGAGGGGGATCTTCTTGGAGCAACTATCTGCTTTCTGTTAGGGAAAAAAAATTCCCCAGAAATCCCCAGTCTACTTCCCCTTGTGTCTTATTGGCCAGCTGGGGCCACTTTGTCCTCCAAAGCCAGCCTCTGACAGAGAAGAGGATGGCCCCTTCTGTGGGTGTTGCTGCCTGCCCAGGACCGGGACAGAACGGAGCGTGTCCACCCGAGGATGGAGAAAGCAGCGGACAGTCACCCCACTTCCCATAGAGGCTGCCACGCCAGGGCTCTAACTGTAGCAGTTTTTTGAGATCACTCTGCCTCTTCCGTATGAGGGATCTTCCCGCCCCGTCCCCCCAAATCTGTGTGATGAACCATTTGTGGAGAACCTCAGAAGCACATGTCTGTTGCCTTGAGGTTAGAAATGTTGGTTCTGGAATCTGATGGTTCTTCCCACCAGGTGAACCTCAGACCTGTTCCCCCCCCCCCGCCCCCGACCCAGGCTGCCCCTCCGTAGATCTCCATGTCAGCTCCCCACGGGAGAGGTCAGTGCAGAGATTCAAGGGCACAGTGCCCCTGTTTCTGCCTGTGCCGAGACTCCCAGGCAGAATGCCAGCTGGGAACAGGTGGGAATAGCACCACAGGAGGCAGCAGCTCCCCACCCCCACCCCCCGCCGCCATCAACCACGTGCCTGCTATAGTAATCCTGTGTTTTTGCCTAACCAAAGAAATTAACTTCTAATCATTAACTTCTGTAACCTACTCAGCCCTTACTCTGTGCCAGGCAGCCCAGTAAGTGTGTTATTTTTTATGATCTCACAACACCGCCTCTGACAGCCTCGTGAGAGCATTTGTGTGTGATGGTTGAAGCACAGGCTCCCGTCAGACCGCCCATGGAATCCCAGGACTGACATTTATTAGCTGTGTGAACTTAGGCAGATTACTTAACCTTTCTGGGCCTCAGCTTTCTCCTGTGTATGCCAAGGACCATAATGGTATGTTACGAGTGCTCAGTGAGTAGAATAGCGCTGGCTCAGAGCACTCACATGGTTCACACTTGATAAATACTAGTTGTTGTTGTTGCCATTTTTAAAAAATGAAGAAACCAGAGGCTCAAGAGATCCACTTACCAAACGTCGACAGCTGCAAGTAACAGGGACGCCACCCAAGAGTTCGTGATGCGAGAGCCGGCCTCTCATCCAATCAGCTAGACATCATCAGTAGTAGCCACGTGCCTCAAGGGAACAACACCATCCTTGCTGTCCTTATCAGTAGAATAAATGCTCAGTTGAAGACTCAGTAATACCTTTTATGAAGAAATAATTTCCAGCCACCAACCATAAAGACGTAGTGTCACGTGTTCAGCACCAGGAGATGTGTGGATCTTTTCTTAAGGTGGCTGGGACCCTGGGACATGAAAGAAAGCATGTGCCCGGGGACGGCAAAGGTAGAGCATTTAATTCCTGATCTCGCCCCTGACCTCACTGGGCCTCAGTCCTCATCCTTAGCTTCAGGTTTCAATTGTTCCTCCCAGTAAGGACTTAGGAAGCACCTTATAAGTTGAGCACGGCCAGTACTGCTTATTCTGCAACTAGGATTTTCCACGTTACCTTACATTTTGTTTCTTATCTCAGTTCACACTTACAGATTCACACAAAGTATAAGCACTGCATCCCCTGACTCCACTTGAGTCCCTGGAAATCTCTGGAAACCAGGACTTATGCATCTTCTGGGAGAGATCTTACCTTGCCTCACTGAGCTAAGTGGGCTGGAGTCAGGACCCTCTGGCATTTTTAGAGAGGAGAGTGTCTCTAGTATCTGTGAGCCTGGGGACAAATAAACAAGGGACACATGGGACGTTCCCTGATTGAATTTCTCCAGATTTCTGAGCATTTTCAGACACAGGTATGCTGGGACCAAGTGCTCAGCCTAAATGAAGGATCACAGGCTAAGTGATGTGACTTTAAGCAAGAAAAAAAAAAAAGGCTTAGTGGCCTGAATTTTCCTGGGAGGACTTTTAAACTTAACCCTGCATAACAAGTGACTCAGTTATCTTTTTTTTTAAATTGAATGTCCCTCCCCCCTTTCCTTTTTTTTCCTTCTCTCTTCCCTTCCCTCCCTCTCTCCATCCCTTCCTTGGAATACATTCACACCAGTGAAAATTAAGATGTTCCAGAAAGACATGCAGTGAAAGTAAAGTGTCCACTGCAGGTTCCACTTCTCCAGATAACAAGTCTTCCTCCTGGGAGGCAGTCACTCTCAGAAGATTCTTGCCTATCATTCTGGAGATGGTCTGTGCACATACAAGCACGATCTGAGCGTGTATAGGGCTTCCTTCTTGACTGGATGTGGCTGTGTCTTATAACAGAGGCCCCATGATCTGTGGTTCATTCCGCCCTCTCAAGGCCTTCACTCCCATTTGCTTATTACCAGCTGTTTTCATCTTCCTTTCCATGCTCAAGGTCTATTTCCAGGTGTGTGTGATGACACGGGGACATTTGTGATGACATGGCTCTGGACCCTGGAGTGACCCAGACAGGCTGATGGAGAATGCCTTGGTTTCAGGAGGGCCTGGGATCTGCCCCAATTTCCCCCCTGCAGACAGGAAGCAGGAAGACTGGACGGCAGTCCAGGACAGGATCCAGAAACAGTTCCCACCACGGGTGGTCCTCTGGGGAACCCACTCCTCCCCATTAAAGGGCACTTTGTCTTAGGTCACCAAGTGCAGAATCACACACCTGAGAGGTGGCTGAGGCCATTGTTTCTCGAATGTGAGCCATGCATAAACTTCTAGGAGCCCTTGTTAAATGCAGATGCTATGTCACTTAAGCCAAGTGGAGCTGATATTCTGCACCAGTGATGAACTCCCAGGTAATAGTGACGCTGCTGGACCACGGCTGACCCATTCTAAGTAGCAAGGAAACACCGGATGCTCCTTCCCGCCTTTCTCCACACTGCACACTCCCCGTCTATGGAGTGCTAGGTCACCTAGCTCCATCACCCATCAGCAGTTTAATGTATGTTGACAGCAGTCTGTCTTCCTCACCATCCAGTGAGGTGCATGAGCATAACCTTTTTTTTTTTTTTTTTAGTTTTTAGATGAGAAAACTGCTCCTCAGAGATGTTCAACAACTTGGCAGAGGTCACACAGCTAGTAAGTGACAAAGACAAAAGTTCGAGGGTGAAGGTCGTTCCCAGTCACTACAGTCCCCCATGAGCCCATAGATATGAATGCGGTCCTCCTAGAATGGGACGGTCTGTACTTAATGAACAGGTTTGGATGGTGACTGTCAGTTTCTTTTCTCTCCCCTTCTTTATCTCTGAGATTTTGACTCTGGCTTCTTCTTTCCAGGAGACTAGGAGATACTTCACATGGTGGGGGGTCCCCCCAGCAACACTGACCCAGAGAGAAGTGAATCCTTTTTCCTGGTGACTAGCAGACATATGAAACTGGAAAAAGGAACCTAGAATATTACCACATTTAACTCACATAGGAGCACACACCTTCCCTTTCATCCTCTCTTCCAAAGCACCTAATAGCCTTTAGTGGTCATACAGTCATTGCTGTGCATGCGTGCTTAGTCGCTCAGTCGTGTCTGATTCTTTGTGACCCCATGGACTGTAGCCCACCAAGCTCAGTCCATGGGATTCTCCAGGCAAGAATACTGGAGTAGGTTGCCATTTCCTTCTCCAGGGGATCTTCCCGACCCAGGGATTGAACCCGGGTCTCCTGCATTGGCAGATGTATTCTTTATCATCTGAACCACTTGGGAAGCCCATGGTCACTGCTGAACTATCCTCATTTAATGTGGTTTTGACAGAATAGTTGGTCTGGAAAGTTTCTTTCCAATTAAACTTCCTTGTTGAACTGCCTTGGTTTTGAAAGGATTCCATAAGGATGACTAATTATATAGCAGTTGCTACAGGAGATGTTTGCACTCAATTTCAGCTCTTAGGTGATTCAGATCAAATGCTTTCTCCTTTTCTCCCTGGAGCTATGTGCAACCATCTTCCTCTCACACAGCAGGCTTCTCATGAGTTATTTTTGGAGGTTCAAATCAAAACAGCAATTCTGGCGAGTGGGAGAGCGAAGCAATGCTTTAGTCGAGCAGAGTAGACCATATGTACTGATAAAGACAGCCAAAGACTCAGTGCCTTTAAAAGGCTTCCGAGCCATCTTCCTCTGTGAAGGTTAAATTTGGGGGTAACTGCAAACTGTCCTTGGTGCTGTCATATTCCTTTGTGAATTCAGTTGAGGGACTTCCCCAGTGACCCAGTGATTAAGACTCTGCCTTCCAGTGCAAAGGATGAAGGTTCCATCCCTGGTTAGGCACTCAGATCCCGCATCCCATGGGGTGTGGCCAAGAAGTGAAAAAGACAGCTGAGATTCCTTTACAGTTACCAAAATTTTGTCCATTTGCAACTTGTTGTCCTGATTGTTTAGCTCTAAGATGGTGGGTCTTGGCAAAATTTACTTGAGGACTTTGCTTCAGCTGCTGGATCTGCCTTGAAACATGGAAATCACTTTATTTCCCCACTCTGCTCTGTTTCCTTCTTTCACCAGAGCACATAGAGCATCCCTGAATATGTACACCAAGCAGGCAGACCTCCCCCTTCACCCGTTACAGTGTAAGCGCCTCGTGGGCAGGGATGTGTTTTTCATTTTGTTCTGTTCCTGGCACAGAGCTGCTGTTCAGAGAATTGAGTGAACAGATGACGTGCTGATTTGCTTCAGTCATGTCCGACTCTTTTTGACCCTATGGACTGTAGACTGCCAGGCTCCTCTGTCCATGGCATTCTCCAGGCAAGAATATTGGAGTGGGTTGCCATGCCCGCCTCCAGGGGATCTTCCCAACCCAGGAATGGAACCCAGGTCTCCTGCAGCTTCTACATTGGCAGGCAGATTCTTTACTGCTGAGCCACTGGGGAAGCCCGAACAGATGGTAGATGAATGAATGCTATTCTAGTTCCATTTTCT